TGGGGGGGGGGGGATCAATTGTTTGCCTCTTACATGTGCCCCGACGGGGGTTGGGGATCAAACCTGCAACCCAGGTATGTGCCCTTGACCAAGAATCGAACCCGTAATTCTTTGGTGCTCTGGCAGACTTTTAACCGCTGAGCCACACCAGCCAGGGCCAGATGATCCTTATACACACTAAAATTTGAGAACTCATGGTTTACTTATTTTTACATCTTTATTGACTTCAGAGAGGAAGGGAGAAGGAGAGAGAGAGATAGAAACATCAATATGAGAGAGTCGTCATTGATCGGCTGCCTCCTGCACGCCCTCGACTGGGGATCGATGCTCAACCGCTCAGCCACTCCCGGCCAGGCAAGAACTCATTTAAAACAACCATTTCCTCTCTGGTTTGAGCCCAATTGCTTTCAGATCTAAGTGAAACTATTTTCACATCCATCTTGCTCATCTCTAAGATCAGCATCTCCCTGTCTCTTCCTAAGAAATGGTCTCATGTCTCTCTCTCTCTCTGGCCTTTGCCAGCACCTCTTCTGTGGGCGACCTCTCAGCCTGGGCAGTCTACCTTGGCAAGTCCTCAGCACCCAACCAGTCACTTCCTCCTCCCTCCTGAGCTGCCCTAAAGCAACCCCCTTAGCACCTATCATCCCAGACTGCCTGGATCCAGACTCCCCTCACTATACCCCACCCAGGATTCACAGACTATACTTGCTGGTCAAAGGCAGGCCCCCATCTGGTCCCCAAAACTCCTCCTTTCCTCTTAAATATTAAAACGACTTAAGGTCACTTATATACAGGCTTTCTCCATATTTTTTAAACACATATACCACTACCACAATAAATGAAGTAAAAACAAAATCCTATTATTTTACGATTCTAACACACCAAATGCTTTCATTTGTTCATCCTCACATTTAATCTTCATTCATAATGAAACCAGGATGTAAGTGAAAATTTTAACCCTGATTTTCTAATCTAACACCATATCAAATGTATTTTCATAACTAACATATCTATGACCTTTCATCACTACAAAATTATCCGTGAAATTAATGCTGCCAGAATCATGGCATTTATTTAGGTTATTCTCAGATTCTGTTTTTATAAATGATAATACAGTGAGTGTGTTCACACATGTTACTTCCTTCTTTGAATAATGTATTTAGAGTAAATTCCCAGAGATAGAATTAATGGATCAAAGCATATGAGTATTTTAATGACTCTTGACACATACTGCCAAGTTGCCATATTTGTATTTTACACAATTCCTTGGTGGTATGCTGATAAATGTTTACTAGGCTCTGCTCAAAAAAAAAAGTGTGAAGGGCCTGATTTATAGTGTTTGTCCATTTCCGTGATGTAGACTCTTCTACTGTGATCAATTTCAAGCTACCAACATTGCATCACTGAAAGCAAAGTTGGAAAGAGATGCTCAGTGGCACATCAATATATAATATTTCTATCTAGAACTAAATTAGAGCAAATAACTTCAAGAGCATAGATAATAGTAAAATGTAGCAAATAACTAGGAAGTAATGAGTTTTAAGTATATATTACCTTTATCTTTTTCTTTTTTTTAATGTATACCTTTATTGATTTCAGGGAGAGGAAGAGAGAGGAAGAGAGATAGAGACATCAATGATGAGAGAGTCATTGATCGGCTGCCTCCTGCCCCAATGGGGATCGAGCCTGCAGCCCCGGCATGTGCCCTGACTGGGAATCGAACCTCGATCTCCTGGATCCTAGGTCGATGCTCAACTGCTGAATCANTGGGTTTTTTTTTTTTTTTTTTTAATCCTCACTTGGGGACACGCTTATTGATTTTGATTTTAGAGAGAAGGGAAGGGAGAGAGAGAGAGAAAGATGGCTGCCCTCCCATACCCTCCCCAACCAGGTATCGAACCTGAAACCTAGGTATGTGCCCTGGCTGGGAATGAAACCCACAGTAGCCACATTAGCCAGGGATATTACTTTTATTTTTAAAATAACTTATTTAACTGAGTTATATAATTTAATTGTAATGGTAGATATGTTTAACAACTAGCTTGCAAATTTTCTGGAAATTTTACAATCAACTTCTTGCAAGCAAGTACAGGCAGGCTCCTGCACACCACCGCAGATATCTCACTTGATATTTTGCAAGAGCATGTCTTTTTTTGTGTGTTTTTATTGAAGCCACTGAATATTCATCCTATCGCCATCTGTGTCACAAACAATAACCATGCTTTTAGGTTAGCAGATTGTGTAAATACATAATGAATAAAACATAATGCAAATAAAAGATAGAGAAGGCCTATCTGGGTCAATTAATTCTGTCCACCCTCCCCCAATGTGGACACTTCTCTCTTCATGTATTCATCTTACTAGCATTTTTCCATGGGGACACCTATAAAAAAAAAACTACTCAGTCATTTATTTCGAGTAATGGCTGAATGGATGACTATACGTAGTTCTCATGGCAAATGTGATGAGAGGCATATTGCACGTTACTTAACCACCCTCTTCCTGGGTATCCTGTTCTGTGAAATGGGGAAGAAGTCACCGCTGACTTCAGTTTTACAAGAAACTAAGTGCAGAGATAAGAAGGCTTTCACTCATGCTCTAAGAAGCAACTGCGCATTCCGTAATGCTTTGAAATTCTCTCCCGAAAGTAATTCATTAGTATTCTGTTTTACTGGAAAAGAGAAACTGGGAGGGTGATTTGGCGTTTTCACCATTGAAAGCAAATTCCTTTCTTTGGGCCCTCCCTGGGTAATAATAAAGAGCCTCTATATGTGTAAAACACTTTTGAATTTTTTAAATTAAATGTACTAGGGTGACATTGGTTAATAAAATTATATAGGTTTCAGGGGTGCTGGAAGCAGCCTAAATGCCCATCAGGAGATGCATGGATAAAAAGGCTGTGGGACATTCACACAACAGAATGCTACTCGGCCGTAAAAAAGAAAGAAATCCTACTTTTGGGACAGCATAGATGGACCTGAATAGTATTAGGCTAAGTGAAATAAGCCAGTCAGAGAAAGACAAGTACCACATCATTTCACTTATATGTGAAATCTAATGAATGCTTTAGAATTTTTTAAGTGGCGCCCTACTATGTATGTGAAAATGTAAACACGGCTGACAAAAACTCTACCCATACGCATTGGCTCAGTCATTCTACTCTCAGGCACTCTCCTAAGAAGTCAATCCAAAACAAAGGAAAATACTTTTGGGTGACAACATGAATCGCAATAGAGGAGAGATCATTTTGCCTCATCTCAGCACTTACTCGACTTACCATCTCAGTGCTTGGGGCCCTGGCAGGAGAGTTGTAGCTTAATGGCTCCCGACTGTTCATCTGTGGAACAGCCACCTCCAAGTCACCTGAGGGGAAAGGGTTTGCATTTATTATCACTCAGATTTCTGGGCCCCGCTCCGGGGCCGGGATGCAACACATGAGAACTGCTAGTTTTTAAAAGCTCCCCAAGCAGTTTTAGGAACGATGATTCTGAGCCAGAACCAGACAAACCAAATCGTCTCTGAACAACTGTCCACATCAGGAGACAGAATGACATCTTCTTATGCAAAGAGTCAAGAAGTTGTTCAGGGCATTCAAGCAGCTGCTAGTTAAATGACTGAAGAGCTAGGAGGAACCTTTATTTCTGCGCCCCGCACACCTCCCTCTATCCACCCGTCCATGTCTCGCGGCCCACGCCAGCACCGCGAACTGCCATACGGCCTTCCAGCACACTCCGCTTCGGTACCCACCCTGACCTGGGTCTGCCCTTGCCATACACAAAGCCCCAAACTTCCCTGTCGTATGTTATCAGTGGGGCTCTGAAAGGAAAATAATATTACTATTTGACTAAAGCGATATGCATGTATAATTGAGAATCTCCTATGCAGTGAACCTACAGGCCATATTTGCATTTTTTAAGGGGGTTTACTAACCCAAAAGAATCTCTAATCTGGAGAGTGGAATGGGAAAGAAGGGTGCTTCTTAATCTTGGCTTCCACCGAGACCCCAGGCATCTAGAACCCAGATAAGCACTTTGGGCACTTATTGTGAAAATGGTCCCGACTCTTTTTTGTTGTTGTTGCTCATCTTCACCCAGGGTTATTTTTTTACTGATTTTTAGAGAGAGTGGAAGGGAGGGTGGAGGAGAGTGAGAGAGAAACGTCAATGTAAAAGAGACAGATCCATACGTTGCCTCCTCCATGCACCCTGACCAGGGCCCAGGATCCAACCTGCAATCCAGGTGTGTGCCCTTGACTGGGAATCAAACCTGAGACCTTCTTAACCACTGAGCCACACCGGCCAGGGCAGATTTCTTTTTAATCTGAGGATTGAAGAAGTTAAGTAATGCGTCCGGTTCCCATAGCTCAGCGGCGACAGCACCAGGCTTCCACACAAGGCAGTCTGGCCCCAAAGCCTGCGTTCTCATTCACCATACTGTATTTCTGTCACTATGTGGACACACATATTTTGTGGCCCAGGGGGAAAAGGTGCTCCAAATGATTAGGAAAGGAAGAGCAGCCAATCCATACTATCTCATTCAGACATGCAAAAGAAGTAACACATATTTCATGGAGTTTGGGGACTGGCTTTTGAAGAATACACACTTGCTTGTAATTGGCCAACTAACTCACTCTTCCAAGAGGAAGGCTACTTTAATTGCCATGACTGAAGGGTCTCCTTCAAATGTAGTAACCAGAAATGGAAGTCTTACTGGTGCCCCAAGCCACACGACCCTTTCTCTACATAACTGATGTACTAAAGGAAGACAGTAGAGGCCAAGGAGGGACCACAGATACATCAAGCGGTCCCAAGGGTGAAGAGGCAAGCACCCCCGGCTCCCTCTCCCACAGAACCCTGCTCGAGCCGGGAAGCCCGAGAGAGGGGAGCCTAAGGACATGAGAGCACTGGGACTCTGCTGACTGGAGTCTCTTCTCCTCAACAGCCTCTTAACATTTCCCATAACCTGCCTGCATGCTAATTTTCGAAGCTTATTTTCTGCCAGTGTGTAAAACAGACTTTCTGCTTCTCTTGGGCCAGTCTCCTCAGCTAGAGCGGTCACCTGGTCGTCAGCCTCACCCTTGTGCCTGTGCCCACACAGTGCTCCCAGTGTGAATTAATCTTCTCCTGCCACTCAAATGTTATGTCTTTCCCAGGCCCATGTCTTCCAGGCTAGTCCAGCTTCAAAGCCCCTTCTCGGAACTCCTGTAACTCTCACAGCCTATGCCGTCCCTTTCATCACTTAATTCCCATCTCGTACTCTTCCTGAATTTTACTTCTTATATGGCTTCTAGATAACAAGGTCCTTCAAATATAAAGAACATAGAAATTCTTTATATTTATCTTATATCCTCCACAGCACCGGCTTAGAATTGATCATTGATTATCAACTATGTGTTGTTTATTTAATGGCAATTTTAATTTACTAAAGTGCCTAAAACTAGTGATTTCCCAAACGTTATTTACTTACAACCCAGGTTACTGACTGGCACCTCACAGCATGTCTCCAAATCAAACACCTCAAAAAATAAATTTAATTTAATTTAAATATATATACTTACACATTACATACTATTTTTAGAAAGAGGACTTTTTGTGAAACAAAATAGCTTGGAATTCCAGATCCAAATCTACATTATTTGGATTTGGTTCTGTTTCTTTTCTGAATTAGAAAAGTTTAAAACTCATATTTGCACAACTTAGGGAATCTTTAGATTTACTTCATCAAATGTAGGGTGATATTTAAACTACCTAATTTTTTTTTCAATTACAGTTGACATACAATATTATATTAGTTTCAGGTATACAACATAGTGATTAGACATTTATATAACTTATGAAGTGATCACCCTAATAAGCCTAGTACCCATCTGACACCATACTAAGCTACCCGAATAACTGAGCTCAATCATAGTCAGTCACAAGAATATAAATCCTCTAGGAGATTATCTGAAAAACCAAAAGCCAACTATTATAACATTTAATGTTTCAAAAAGTATATGCATCTTGTTAGGACGTGGGGAGGGGGGGCACTTGGATATCCAAGCAACACGCCTTTCTCCCATAATGTTGTTCCATATTTTACAACAGGTAGAACAGGATAATCAAAATGTTTAAAGTAAAAGCTAAATAAAATTAGAAAGATTTCTTTTGACACCGAGAAAATATTTTTAAAGAAAAAAAAGTCTTACCACTTGTTGAATGCCGAAGACATTTCTTGACATCAAAATGACCAACTCCGGAAGTCAACGCTGTTCAGTGCAGGTAAGTAAAAACAAGAGCAGCCGGGCCCTCTCACTGCTATGATTTTCTTCTGAGATCAACCTTTCCTTCCTCCCCAAGACTCGAACTGATTCACACTGGAAGAACTAAAAATGTAAGAGTTGCTGGTAAAAATTCCAACCCAAAACGGTTGTGTGGAGACTGCGTGGTGACTGAGGCAGCAGGAACCAGCCAAATGTGACAAAAGAGGTTAGCAAGTTCCTGTGCCTAAGTCAGTTTCCTGTAGGCAGCTTCTCCGAATTAGGGTTTTCATTCGTGTGGGTTTCAGGGTTTGTGTGTACACGTGCGTTCCTCTCCGTGACAATATGAAAACTTCCCCCAGATAAAAGGCAGAATAAGACCCTTGCCGCATGGCTGGATTTATGTTTAATATATCAACCCTCCTGGGACCATTTTTCTTCCCCTGTCCTTCCATTTCCCACCAGCAAATCACTCACATAGAACAGGAAAGAAAGAGTGAAAACCCAAGATGATTCCTTAAGGAAGTGAAATAAGGCAGAAAAAAAGAAAAAAGTCCACTCCACTGACTGGTCTTGGTTAATTTAAGCTTAGGAAAAAGCACCTTAGAACTCACAGGTCAGTTTGATGAACATACTATGGTGGGAAACCAGTAGGTGGGTGGTTTGCTTTGCTTTGCTTTATTAATAACTACCAAATAATAATTTGAGTAAAAAACAGACTCAGCTATAGCAAGAGCTTAAGCAGCCTTGCCAGGCAGTCCGTCTTATGGACCAGCACCTGTGCTGTGAGGAGCATGACTATGAGTTGTTTCCAGACTCCTCAAAGTTTCAGTGTTTGCCCTCAAACACAAATTTACTTGTTTTGTCCTGCAGTGCAATCCAGGTGTAGAGACCATCTGCATTTAGATTATGGCTAAATTGCCTAAGCCAACAAATTTAACTTTCATGATGTGTTCACAATGCCCCATGCCTCAAATCCCCGAGTAATCACAAATGCTACTACTGCCCAGGGTGAAATCTTGGTCAAAATACCTACATGCCATAAAGATGAAGGCAAGTCCATTCAAGTCAGCACACATTGATAGAGCCACGACTATATGCAAGATCCAGTGCTGGGGTGGGGTGGCGTGGGGCGGGGACACAAGGATGAATGAGATGAAATTTCTCACTCAAAATGGTCAAAATCAAGTAAAGGAGAAAGACATGGACATAGAGGAGATGCTGTGAGTCGGGATCTTTTTAAGAGGTTACAAGAAGAATACCGGGACACAAGAGTCAGGTAAAAGGAAAGTGTATACAACCATTTTCCCAGTTAAAATAGCCACTGAACGTTGACATGAATTCTCTCATAATAGACCAAGGGGACTTGGCTGGTTTCCAGGAGGCCCCATGGTCCATTATTTGTGAGCCACTGTCATTGTTGCAGACTCATATGTTATGTGTCTGATACTGTGCACTGAAGAAAAGCACAAAGACCAAGACGGACATATTCCCTGTCCTCACAGTCCCTATGTCCTAGAGTGGGGGAAAGAAACCCAAGCAGTCAAATACATGTAATAATTATAAATTGTAATCAGTAGTACAAAGGAGTCAGAGAAGAAGCTGAGCTAGAGAGCAAGACAAAATCTATATCCTGGGTGGTCAGGGAGGACCTCTTTGAGCAATTGACAATTAAGCTGAGACTTAAAGCTTTGACTCTCAGCCTGGGCTAAAAATTAAAGTCATCTGAGAAGCTTTTAAAAATACCAATACCTAACCCCACCCCCCAGAGATTTTAGTTCAATTAGTCTGGGTTGGGGCGTGGGCATCAGTACAAACTCCCCCAATCATTCTAATATGTTGCTGCCACTCTAATGATGAGAAAGAGGAACCTAGGGAGAGCAGAAGGAAAGACAGTCCAAGCAGATGCAACCGTATGTGCAAAGGCCCTGAGGTAGGAAAGAGCCTGGATTGTTCGAAGGAGGTTTAGTGTGTCTGGCGTGTAGCGGTGGCAGGAATAAACGACGTGAGATGAGCATTCTCAGAGATGGACATACAATTACCAAGCTCATAAGAGGCTCTTACATGAGCCCAAGTATCAATC